ATATCAGAGCACGATGCAGCAAGCTACTCAGAGTAAGTGTGGGAGTTTGTTTTTGTGGAGAGGAGACGTGTTTTGGTGTATTTTCTGGGGCTTCTGTACCTTGCAAACTCTCCCTCCTCCCCCTGCCCCTTCTTGCACAGTGTAAAGGAAGAAATGTATATGTTTATCACTCAGAATGTTCGGTAATATGCTCATTGTTTGTGATGTGTGTCTATATATGTATATGAACACGTTGTACTGGACGGGGGTGAGAATACCTCATCCCTTTGAGTGTATTTATACCTGAATAAACTTGTTTCAGTTTCCTTATTCCACACACACAACCCTTCTCTCACAAGCACACACACACACGTTCACCCCAACAACCTCTGTGGCTTGATGTCACACAATGGAATGAATTATCTATTGTGTCTTCGCTATTCCTGTCACGTGTGTCCTTACCATCCCTGTCTCTCGCATCGTCACTATCCTTATCTCTCGCGTTCTCCCTATCCTTTGCAGGACACAATTACCCGGTCCCCTCAAATGTGGGTAACTCTTTTTCCCTTCTCATCCTTCATCGACTATATATTGTCACCTGTGTCAATATACGGTATATTAACTCTCCATCTGCCTCTGAAGCTGTTGAAAAGTGCTTCAGCGAAACCTGTCCTTTAGCGACATGCGTCAAGCTATAATAAAACTTTAAAATTAAGTTTGGATGGTTAACTTTCACACACACACACACACACACAGCTTGCTATGAGCTGTCCTGTTGATTGACGGTTGAGAGGCGGGACCAAAGAGCCAGAGCTCAACCCCCGCAAGTACAATTAGGTGAATACACACACACACACACACACACACACACACACACACACACACACACACACACACACACACACACACACACACACACACACACTCTACTAGGAAGTGATGTGGTGGAGGCTGACTCCATACACAGTTTCAAATGTAGGTATGATAGAGCCCAGTAGGCTCAGGAATCTGTACACCAGTTGATTGACAGTTGAGAGGCGGGACCAAAGAGCCAAAGCTCAACCCCCGCAAGCACAATTAGGTGAGTACAATTAGGTGAGTACACACACACACACACACACACACACACACACACACACACACACACACACACACACACACACACACACACACACACACACACACACACTCACACACAAGGGGCACACACACTAGGGGACACAAGTGGAAACTGAGTGCCCAAATGAGCCACAGAGATATTAGAAAGAACTTTTTTAGTGTCAGAGTGGTTGACAAATGGAATGCATTAGGAAGTAATGTGGTGGAGGCTGACTCCATACACAGTTTCAAGTGTAGGTATGATAGAGCCCAATAGGCTCAGGAACCTGTACACCTGTTGATTGACGGTTGAGAGGCGGGACCAAAGAGCCAGAGCTCAACCCCCGCAAGCACAATTAGGTGAATACAATTAGGTGAGTACACACACACACACACACACACACACACACACACACACACACACACACACACACACACACACACACACACACACACACACACACACACACTCAATCAATCATGGGGGCTCGCAAACTTGACGGGCTGTCCCGTCTCCTATCCGTGGGTCCTTGCTTAAGTTAGGTTCGGGCAATTTAGTTCATAATTTTTATGACGTTGGAACAACTCGAGAGGACGGCCTGGATGAGCTCAGGAACGTAACCCCGATGTACGTTATTGCTCAGCAAGTTACAGCTGTGTTACATTGTAAGCATGTACTTCAAAACTCGAGTAATAGTTATCAAATTAACATAGAAAACACGAATGGGAGACAAGCTCTATCCACCTTGCTATGAGCTGTCGTAATAAGGAAAGATTCCAGGAACAACTGGTGTTTCATTCTCGACTTACAATCGACATCCTGGGTTCGATTCACATGTAGGACATAAGTGGTTGGGCACGTTTTCTTTTGCGGGGTTCGATAAAAGAAAGTATGTGAGGTGAAAGATGAGATGAGATTTATTTTTCCATTTACACCTTACCTCTTCTCACTTGATTGATTGATTGATTGATTGATTGGTTGATTGGTGAAGATTAAGCCACCCAAGATGTGGAAGGCGCATGAATAACCCGTAAGTGGGTCTTCTTATCTACTCTGACATTCCTTATATTGGTTTCCTTTCCTGTAGTCAGAAGCTACTTGATAAAGGTTTAGGACGAGCCGAAACATCATCACTTTGCTTTTATTTTACTTATAAAGTTAAGTTGTTACATTTAAGTTTGAATTTGTATAAAATTATGCAATGTATACATAAATGCAATTTTGTATATGTGCGTGTGTCATGGCCATTGACGACAGTCAGCCCTGAGTCGAATGCTCACAGAAAATGGAACAATTTCCTGTTTTCTCTGGACTGAGTGTTACGTTCATTCATGCGCGCAATCGTGATGAGATTTATTTAGACAAAGGCCTGTTGGCTGCTGTTTTGCTGTTCTCAGTTACTTGTGCGTGAGTGATAGTGCTGACAATAGAGCCAGAGACGTCTCGCCATGTGACACCAATTCTCCTATAAGAGAATCTCCAGAGAAATACAAATATTACAGCGCTAGTCCCAGAACTCGCGGCTACGTTCAATTTGTATAGATGAAGTGAAATTGCGATTTGGTGCAAGTGACATAGAGTTTAAAACTTTATCGGTGCTCGCGGGTCTCCGCAAGGCGCTATGGGACTCACAATGTGTTACACATAGTAGGGTTTGCTGCTTTAAAGATCACGTTGACTAATACACACTTGTGTTGTTTACCTTATTGTCGCAGCATAAACAATGTCTCGGAGAGTTTTGGGCGATTTGATTGTTTCGGCGGTATTTTTGCTTCTCTCCTCAGTCCCGTTAACGATGGGATCTCTGGATATGGGCAAAGAGAAAAACTCGTAAGTTGAACGTCGAAAATGTTAATAATTATTGAAAATACTGGCATAAAAGAGCTTAATTGCACGCTGACGGGTTTAGGGAATTCAAGTAGTCATATCATTCAGATTATATTGGATTATTTCATGAATATCACCACTTGTTATTGGTAAAGAATTTATTTGAAACACTAATTGGTGTTATGTTGTGCATGAGCACTATGGATTAATTCTACAAGTTAAAAAAAAATGTATGCAATGTGACGACCGCTTCCCTCTGTCGTAATAACCGCGGCCTCTATTGTAATAACCCAATGTTCCCCAGTATTAATCCTGTTATCTTGTGATCTCTCATAATCGTACTATACGCTCTCTATTGTAATTCTCCGTCTTTCTTCACTCAATACCCCAGCTTAACACTGTTACAGTCCAGCATGACCCTCACTGGACTGCCACGTATGTAAGAGGAATATTAAATGAGGAAGATACACCAAGGACAAGGGTTATTAGTAAAAAAAAACAATATCAAAACACATTTACACTGCCACCACCTTCCTGACCAACCATACCTGAATGTGTCAATCACCGATCCCCCAGGAAGGCAAGGAATCAGTAACCATGGGACTCCGGGTAATATGAATTTCCGTAGTAAATTCTGGAAAATTAGTTTGTGTAATTTACGTTACTAATTTAAATCCAAGGGCAACTTTAGTATCTAATTAATAGTAGGAGAACATGGGGGCTTCCAATACAACACCTAAAAATGACAAAGTAGCAAAATATATCAAAGGGGAGTTAAGTGAATACCACTGGACAAGCTATACAATTTATTTTATGAAAACATGTAAATTAAGACAATTTGAAAACATCACCTATTCTATTTCCCTAGAGGCACAATGGATATTTACCGAGGACACAAAACTCAAGTGCACTATACCTTAAATACCCGCACTACGGCCACGATGTTGATGGCTGCCCTCAGCCCCGAGGATACGGGCTTGCGGCCCTGTTCCTAATACACTCCCAAGACACACTCATGAAATTTAGTTTTTCCAACTTATTGCTGGGAAGGATTACTCCTCCCACCATCTACTACAGCCCCAGGGCTCCACCCATTATTTTGGCAATGGCCAACCATTTAACACGTAGGCCTGAGGTCTGGCTCTCTAGGGCCAATAAGGACTTGGCCCTTATCTCAGGCCAATCACCTTCACTGATCTGTCGTGGAAAGCTACATGAATTTCTGAAGATTGAGTCAGCTCTCCCCAGCTAAAGAGAAGAGGGACAAGGCGCGTCTATGGTTCTATTTATGTACAGTACATATATGGAATTCATCATTGAGTTGCAGAAACAACTGGTTATAAAAACCTGTTAAATGATTTTTGAGCTCGGTAGCGTAGTGGTTTTCACATCAGCTTGCAAGTAATTGTTCCCAGGTTTGATTTACAGGCAGGGCACGTATCTTTATTCACAATGCCTTTGTTCACCTAGATAAAAATAGAACCTTGAACCTGTTTTTGGATTGCATTTAGGGAAAGGTCCAAAGGGGGCCCACAAGAAGCCTATAGGCTTCCTGTCCCCGCTATGGGAACCAAACTACTATACATAAAATGTTTACTTTCAATTTCTAGCTCCTGCCCCCCTAATTTTTTTCCATTTTTAAAAAGTACAGCAGTATAACGAGAAGGGCTGGGATAGGATTGTCTCGCTTCTCAACAAAAAAGCACAATTTTCTGGAGAATCTGTAAACATGAAAGGAACTGCCTTATTCCAAATAATATAAAGGGAAAAAAGAAATATATATATAAATATATATATAAAGGTAAGGCTTACCTATATATATTATATAGGTAAGCCTAAGGTCAAAATGTTGTGTAGCCTCTGTGTAAGAACTCCTGATATTGCCATTGCCTATCCTATATTCTAGCTCCATTTCCAAGCTTATATGTGTTTTATCTTGTAACCAAAAAAAATGAAGACTGTTGTACATGTCTAATGTTCAACATTTTTAATTTAAAAACTGAATTTTAATACTTTAAAAATTTTCATTTCCTCTGGTGATCATTTTGTATAAACTTTTTTTTTTATTCTGTAATGGTAACATTATTGTTTTCAGATTGCCTGGTGGTGTGCCAGGAATACCTGTGGTGGGTAATATTCCTAATCTTGGAGGCTATGTATTTCCCCCTCCTGGCCCAGAAAAGGATGAAGGACAGGGTTACTGTCAGGTAAATAAAGTGGTGTTGGCTTGTTTACTTTCAGGTTTATATATATCATACATATATATATATATATATATATATATATATATATATATCGATATATATATATATATATTTTTTTTTTTTTATTATTTTGAAAATTTGTCTTTTAAATCAATTTTATAAATGGTTCCCTTTGTCTTGTAAAGTCATTGAAAATTTGAAATAAAAACTTTTCACTCATTCATCAGCTTCCACACAGCGGTAATTACCAACTAGGAACACTCAAAGAAATTCATAGGTATTTTGCTTAGTTACTCATTCTGAGAGGTTCAGGGCAAAATGCATTGCATTTCTTTCATACAGTATATGTATCTATGGATGATAGAAGTGGGATCTCGGTTAATGGAGTAACACTATTATATAATCAGAAGAGTAATTTTTATATTCATTTGAAGCTTTATTTTTATCATTTGTGATAAATATTTATTATTTTGAAAGTATATGGTAGTACAATATTATTATTTTGATAGTACAGTACATGTATTATTACTTTGATAGTACAGTATATGATATCATTTGTGATAAATATTGTTTTGATAGTATATGATACAGTATATGAAAATGATAGTACTTTTTGCATGTAAAGTAAAACTTTCATTTATATGAACAATTGGATATACAGTAATGTGTATTTAACTTTACAGGTATACAGAGGTGCTACATGCAGTGGCTTTATCGGTAATCGCTCGATCTACATCTACTCTCCTCAGCATCTGGCAGATATGGAAAAGCGTCTTACAACAGCAATCACAGTTATCAGTCACTCAAAGTAAGCCATCCACTCAGTTCAATAACAGTTTTGTTTAGACTTTTGAGACATTAGTATTTGTGTGCTATATATAAACAATAGAGTAATGAATTCAAAAAAATAAATTGAACTAAAATTTGTAAAGAAAGGGAAATAATGTTTATGGAATAATGTTGGTAACCGTGGCTTGTCAGTGCCAGCATGATTCAGTCTAATTTATGAACAAAAGTGGAAAGTGACAGGAGCCTGAATCTGGGAAGCCTGACATGTGAACGTTTCTTAACCTCAACACTATGCACCTGTTTATAGTTGACAACCCTCAGGTGCAGAAGAAAAAAAAATCCAAAAAATTATTTTTACTTTAATACCTTCTGTGATCACGGGAAAAATAATAAAAAATATTGTCACTTTGGCTGTGGTGGAGCACGGAAAGCCTGTGATGACATCGTGATCCATGAGCATTCATGGGGTAATCACTTGTGGTAGCCACTATTGGGTTAGGTGTGAGGCGTGAATTGCCGTAAATATACTTTTGCATACAGTATTTCAATATCTCTGATTTTTTTTTTCAATACTAATATTCAGTATGGTGTCATTTGAGAAATTTATGTAATAAAAGGTGTGGAACATTGGTATACACATTTTATGATTTAATATAGCAGAATGTTTGGTACAATAATTCATGGTTTCTGTGCTGTAAAAATAATTTTGTTTAGATTTTAGAAAGCTTTACTGTATTTATTTATGGACAGTCTTTGGTAATTTAGAATTTTCACTGCAGTATCTCTTTATAGGAAAATATACAAGTAAAGGACAGAATAAAAAGAATTTCATCAGAAAATTACTTAAAACAGCTTAACTGTTTTATATACAGGAACTGGCTTTCTTTGAGACAAATTTTATCACTATTGTATACATTTATTACGGTGCTTAAAATATTCCAATGTGTAATAATAATCATTACTCTTATAACCATTCTTTTCCTTGCCAGTGATCTTTCGGCAAAGTGTGAGGACTACGCAATTAAATCGCTCTGCTATGCTGCACTTCCTTTATGTAATGAGAATACACCTGAGCCAGAGCCTCGGCAACTGTGTAGAGAAGAATGTGAGATTCTTGTAAGTGCAAACTCTATTTTTGTGCACTTTGCTTTTGAGTTTTGGTTTTAAAGTGCTGAACTATTAAGGTGTAATTTAAATGGGGCATGCTGTGTTATTGATAGTAATTGTTTACCATCAGTAAGCTATTGTATGTTTTGTTTTCTTTCATTTCACTTCATAATCATGATTCTTTGTGTATTCTTATTTGCCTGTACTTTGTGGTGCCAGTGTCTAATGCAACAGGAAGTTACTGAGGGGCTAGGCCAGAAAGTGGACTTTTCTTGATCTCTGGAACCTAAGCCATTTTTCTTCAATGTACTGTGCTTTAAAGTTTGATATACATGGTGTTTTCAGAAACATAACCCCCCATGCAAATCAAAGGAACTTTGTATAGGGTAATGTTTCTGTTGGTGACATGGGCAGTTATTATTTGCAGTATGGATAATAGAAAGTAAGCTTACCAGTGATCCATGAAAAAATGTAAATTTTCAGTATTCATTACAGAATTGTGAACAAACTGCAAACTACATACAATTTAATATGTTAATTTGAGATTTGGAGATGCTTTCATATTTTTCTTCATTGTGTGTATAGTGTGTCTATAGGTCACTTCTCTCTGCAAGTAACTTATATATATTCTTCTGTCTCTTTATTGTGTAATAAATAGGTAAATGATGTATGCAGAATGGAGTATGTTATTGCAAAGCAACATCAGTTAATTGGTAGGAAGCTTCCAATACCTGAATGTGAAGATCTTGCTCCAATCACGTCCCCAGACCATCTTACATGCATCCGCTTGGGAGTACAGAGTGAACCACTTGTTGAGGGTAAATTTAATGTACAGTAGTCATTTTTTAAACTGCACCATATGTTTTATTTGTATATTATCATTTAATATTTTGTTCCTTATTTTCTCTGATGTTCCGTTACATATGATATTGAACCAATTTTTTTGTAAGTTTTTATCTCTAATATAAGTTATTGGTCCAGATGAGAAATGCTACATGAGAAATGGAGAGACATACCGTGGAATGGAGAGTCATACAGAATCTGGACGAATTTGTGAGCCTTGGAGTCAGAATCAACTTTACATGCGAACAGCTGAATATCCAGAGCTTATTGGTGGCCATAACTACTGCCGTAACCCAGGTGGATCAGAGACACAACCTTGGTGCTTTGTGGCTACCGAACACTCGGTGTCAAAAGAGGAGTGTGCCGTACAAGTTTGCAGTAAGTCGGCATTCTTTTACAGATTTGTAGTTATGAGGTAGGAATGAAGGAAGGCTTCAGAAGATATGGGTGGACTTCAGTAAGCTTGTGTGTAAGGAAGTCGGGGAGTGAGTGTGAACATGACGAGGCTGGATGGATTGAAGTTGTTCATAAAAAAAGGTAGTGAATATTTTTGTATTTACTACATGAGAAGCTCTGCTCACTTAGTCTTTATGAAGCAGTAGGGTGCTGCTGCTGTGGAAAACTACTGGTGTTTGATGGTGTTTATTTATCCTTATGGTATACAGTATAATAAATGAGCAACTGATATTTAAATTTTTATATGTATGGTATAACTTTTTTTGTGGGGGGGTGGGATACTGAATTCCCATTTATTCTGTGAGCCTATTCTACCCACCTCACCTCATGAAAAAGGAGTAATAATAATTTGTGGGTGAAAGTAAAGTATATTGTGTATCATTTCACTGCATGTATGTCAAACATGCAAAGACCTGTTATAACCCTTTGGCTAATAGGTATCAGCACATATGCCTCAGAGTTACCGAGTGGGTCTTCCGTAAAACATTGTAGGAGTGGGTGTGAGGTGCCAATGTGAAGGTTTGAAAAGAGGGATTATAATTGCCAAATTTTGCACTAGTGCACCAGGTGATATTTTATTGTCTCTAGCAGATGGCAGCAATTAGCAGGTCTAGATGCCTGTTCTGTTTGCTTTCATGAGCAAGCAAAACATGACATAGAAATGTATTTCTAGGCATGTGGACAGAAGTTGCATATTGCAGCCAAGGCCATATTTCTTTAATTGACCGCTGTTGCATTTTGAAACCAAAATATTAAAAGTTAAAAAAAAAATCATTCCTAATGTTACTGCTGTCACAGGAATAAGAATCTGTACTTAGTCTTGTGAACAAATCTCCATTACTATGTAGAGGTATCTATGCCATTTAAAGACATTGACTTCTCAGGAACGTATCAATTTTTCTTTCTTTACAAAGAATTCGGCAGAGAATGCCTTAGGTTCTGGAAACAGATCTCTAAATAACTTTATTCATTTCCCAAAGTTCCTGTACTCTTTAGCAGAGTTTTAGTGGGAACCTCAAGAGCAGGGACGTGCTGCTGAAGCACAATCTGAACCAAAACAGAAGTGGAGTCTGTTTCACCAGCCAGTTAAGTCATGAGATACACACATACACAAGACTCATCTTGCACATACGGACATTGTTTTAAATAAAATGTTCTGTACTACCGTGACGATGGTGCATTGTGAATCCACTGCTCAGGGAAATAAATTTTTCTAAGGATGAAAACCAAAGCATTTGACTGAAAACCTGATCTCGAACCTGCCCAACCAAAATCAGGACGAATCGGGACAGAAATGTAATGGTGCTAGATGTGGACTTGGGTGCTACCATCTGGTGGTGGTTGAATTTGCCTGCCTGGTGGGCAATTGGCGATTTGCACAATTTCTACTTGGGGGATCCTTGTGATGCTTGCAAATGGTTTTGAGGGTCGACTTAATGTGGGCAATCTGGGCTTTAGTTTTTCGATTCGATTAAATTTTTCAGATTGTTACCCTGCCTCGATTGTAATGACTATTTGCATTAGAGACTCGAGGGATATTGCCTTAACATCAAAAAGAGATGACACAATCAGTAGTCAAAGCACAGTAGTGCTTGGACTACTGATTTTTTAAATTTCTTGTACATTATGTACATTTATCATGACTCATTATTATGACATGAAATTGGTGGTACTGCAAATAGCACAAGTACTATTTCAGCTTTTGGAATGCCAAAAGATTCATTTGAATATTGAGGTATATTAATTGTACATATAAAATAATACCATGCATTAATTATATATTCCAAAAAATATTGATAATCTTCCTTCCACCACAGGTGACAACACTTGGGTATACATCCTTGTTGCAGCCATCGTGGGGGGCACTGTCTTTCTCTCGCTGATCATTGCCCTTTGCATGAAACGCAAAGCCAAGTCCCCTAAGCAACCTTCACCCAAAGCCAAGACTGTGGAGCTGAATGCTCTCCTTCCTAAGCAACAGCAGCTAAGGGCTAGAGAGTTTCCATTGGCCAATGTTAGGTTCATGCAGGAGCTGGGAGAAGGAGCTTTTGGTGAGCTTATGACATTTTTTTTTTTTTTTTGTAAAGAGCTTTTATGCCAGTTTGAACTACAGGTTATTTTGACTCGTAATATTTATGTGTCTTATATAATGGAGTATATATTGTTTCAGAAGTGGTAAAGATGCTAATTGTTGATTTTCAGTATACTAAAGCTTGTTAAATCTTGCACAGTGATGCTGTACTTTTGTCACCCTATTATATAAAAGTTTAATCAACAGGTAAAGTTTATAAAGGAGAACTGCAGGGAGTAAGTCCTGATGGCAGCTCTGTGTTGGTTGCTATTAAGACATTAAAGGAAAATGCTACTGCCAAGACACGCCAGGACTTTCATAGAGAGGTTGACCTGATGACTGACCTACGTCATCCAAACATTGTCTGTCTGCTGGGAGTCGTTATGAAAGAGGAGCCAATGTGCATGCTGTTTGAACACATGTCTCAGGTTTGTGTGTAATATTGACATTTTTTGAATTTATTGCCTTATTCAACACATACGGATTTTGAATTGTGCACAATACCAGTACTATAACCAGAGGGGCTGATGTTGGTGTGTTTAAAGTTTCTAAAATAAGTGGAAGAAATATTGAGAGGAAAACACTAGGTTAAATTCCACCATTTTTGTATTTAATGATCATATTTTACCTCAGTTTTGTCAGTTGTGAATTTTCATGGCTTGGGCATCTTTTGAGATGCCTCATAAGTACACCAATTTGAGGATAGAGCTAATAGGATGGGTATTGTGTGAAACTTACATATACTGTGGCTATTACCTGTTATTTAAAAATTATACAAAATATTGTTAAGTCTCTTTTTAATAAACTAAATTTGTTTTAATATGTAAAAGTAATCATCACATAGAGAGTTAGGTAACATGTAGGAAAGCTAGGATGGGATAGATAGTTGTACAAAGAAAGATAGTGGCATTCGTGTTGTCTTAAAACGTTTAAATTCTGTAATGGGATACAGTGTGCAATAGAAGGAACTGTTAAAATCTTGGGCAGGGTTGGCTAATTGGGCACTCTTCCCTCACTCATCTTATTGCCTGTGCACCCAGCAGTAATTGAAGAAATGAATGCATAATAGTGGACTGTGTTCTGAGAAAAAAATGGTGTTGAATAACCTAGCCAGTAATAGTTTTTCTTTGTGGGCCTTAAGCCCAAATCCTATCTTAACAAAAAGCATACCCAAGTGTGTGCTTGTATTCTTGTCAAGAAACCAGAGTTTGGAAAGATGATGAGGTTCGTGGATTTATTACCTGAGTTTGTTTAAATTATATACTGAATGAATGATCATTGTGGCAGGAATCACGAGTGCTAGAGTGGGAAATTACAAGTATCGGATGTGGATAAATATTGCGTGTGAGGGAAGTTTTCTTCAGTATCTTGTGCAGTGGTGTTACCAATTAAGCTTGGTATTAGCCAGTTCTGTACAGTGCTTAATATATGTGCAATATGCATACCTAGTCTATTGGCCAAATATGAGTAATAGGAGTATGTTAAATATGGATTATACAGATGATGCAATTTGTTTAGCAGAGTGAGAGATACATGTAGACAACTTGAGTATTTGATTTGTGGTGGAATGAGATAAATATTATGATTTTATTTTATATATATTGCAGTAGTTGATCAGTTTAAATAGTTGGGAATTTATGCATTTAAAGTTAAGAGTAGAGTAAAGCAGAGAAGAAAGTAGCTCATGCTATGAAAATTCTGGATAGAAAAATCATGATACTGTAGGTGGAGATGCAGTCTGTGGGATGCATGAAGAAGTAATGCCAACCCCTATGCATTTAATATTATGCACATTTGTATAGTGTGAATGTGGAAATATAAACAACAAGGTTAGTAGAAATGAACAATCTGAAGAGTATGTGTGGTGTTATGGGTAGAAAAATAGATAAAGGAGTGAAAATATCATAGATAGATGTGGAGAGCAAGAGTCGTTAAATTGCAAAGTTATGGAAAGTGTACCGAAAGGATTTTGAGTATGTTGAACAATATGGATGCTGGTTGACTGAAGATTGTGTATTCAAGGGAATTTGAGGCCTGGAGGAGAGGAAAGATTGGGAAGATGAATGGATACAGTGAATGGGTGTGTGTGTAAGGATGCAGTGATTGATTGTGAAGAAAACACAGGATATGGTAACAGACAAGTCTAGGTGAAAGTATGTTTATTCATTCATTACACCTGATCTACAGGATTGACGAGAAGAGCACAGTAATGAGTTGCATGTAAATAGTGCCCTGCTTCATTAAATGTTTTAAGGTGACCATAACTTTCTTTACAATTCACATTAGTGTCGGGTGTTTTGAGATCCCTTATCCTCTTGCATCTGAGAACCTCACATTTTGGTCACTTCATGTCATGAAATTCCTGATTGTCAGAAGCAGCTTAAATGAAATGGTGCCAGTAAGGTAGAAATGTGTAGCTGGTTTTGAAAGTTCTTCTATCTACAGAGGGTTCCATACACAAAGTGGAGTTTCATTATATCTAATGCTCAATTCTCTCAGTGAATTTATTTTCGTATTTATTTTTTCAGGGGGACTTGCATGAATTTCTGATTGCTCATTCACCAAGGTCAGATGTCTCGGCTTGCAGTGATGATGGCATGTCTCAAGTAGTGTTGGAACAGCCTGACATGCTTATCATTGCCACCCAAATTGCTGCCGGTAAGTTTTGCTTTCATCTTAAAAAATCTGATGCAAAAATGTCTTGAATCCAGATAATTTTGAGAAAAGAGATTGATAAATTAAGCAAAATTCCAAATTTCCAAACAATGGATAAAAGTTACGTATTGTACATGCAGATACATTTATTTTAAATTGATTGACTTAAAACCCATTATTAGATGAATTATGAACTAATATTAGTAAGATTGAAACTGATTATAAAACTGAGTAAAAAGTGTGGGTTATATAAATGAATTGCCAGCAGAAACAAAAAACATAAATGCTCCTGTTATTATTTACTATATATTAAATTAATATGAATTTAAACTGATGAAAAGGTGTTATTATGGAGATACTGGTAGCTAAGTAGCATACTGGTACTGTACTATGTATATTCTATTCTATGTACTATGTATGCAATTCCTATATTGCATTTAATTTGTACGAGTTCTAGTAGGATTTAAGAACTGTCATCTCCTTTTAACTGCCAAGGCTGTCAAAACTATAAGTTCTTTTTATAATGCCTATAAATCTGTTGTGTATCGACCTTTGGCTTGCTAAGTTTCATAATCGGTTTTTACTTGTATATGCTGACAGACTTGTATCTTTTTTCTAGAGGTTAAAGCACTGATACATTTAAATTTTCAGTAAAGGTAAAAATTCACAATGATATATATACCATATTATATAATATATATATATATACTGTATATATATTTTTAAGTACCTGTACAGTACTGTGGAATTAAATATGGAGCTGCTAATTTTTGAAAATGTTTATACACTGAATTGATTTGGTATTACTCATTAGGTATGGAATACCTGGCTAGTCATCATTATGTTCACCGTGATCTTGCGTCCCGTAATTGTCTCGTGGGAGAGAACCTTACTGTCAAAATCTCAGACTTCGGACTTTCTCGTGACATCTATTCCTCTGATTATTATAGGTAAGTTTTGTAATCAAATAAATTTACTGCTGTAAGTCGTCATGTGTTGTGAGTGGTAAGGTTCAGAATTTAGGAAAATTGCATCTGTTATATGTACCTTTTTCCAAAACATCAAATTGGCATTGTATATTTATTCAGAGGAGTATTTCCACATCTGTCAGGGCCATGTGAGATCTGAAATAATCATTCTTTTAAGATATTGGAGAGATTTGGGGAGATATTAAAGCTGGGGAAATGGTTCCCTGCTTTTTCTTCTTTCTCTTATTTGATGGTAATTTGCTTCATATATTCATTTTTTATATAATAATAATAATAGTTTATCAAGGTAAAAGTACATACAAACAGAATGAGTTTAAAAGCCGAGTGTTGGAGCCACTAATACGCACAGCGTTTCGGTAAAAAAAAAAGTTTTTTAATACCTATGTTACCATGTCATGCTGTATGTTTATGTATGTTTATAATACTAAAGTGCTACTTTGATGTTCATTGCACTGTAAGTTGAAGTGTCTACTGTTACAGGTTTCCACATTCTACCATAACCTGTCTTTTTTCTATTGTTTTCATCATTATCATACTAAATCATTTAAGATATTGGTACTTGCATACATTAATTAAATAACTCTGAGGATCTAGGTACCTAGATCCTATGATATTTACTGAAGGCATACCAGAAATGGGTATGCTATTACATTTAGCATTTTTTTTTTATTAACATTTTTTGGGGGTAAAACCTTTTTATATTACAGAGTTCAGAGTAAGAGTTTACTGCCAGTAAGATGGATGCCTCCAGAGTCCATCTTGTATGGCAAGTTTACCACGGAGTCGGATGTTTGGAGCTTCGGTGTTGTGCTGTGGGAAATCTTCAGCTATGGTTTGCAGGTGAGTGACCTGTAGCAGAAATTTGTTATAAATAATGACATTATTTTTTTGTTAATAAAAATTTATAGTGATATTAAGATTTAAAATCTTCTGAAATGTTTTAAAATATCTTTGAGATACCCATAACATTTGGCAACAAAAAATGATGAATAAACCCCATTTTTTTCAGCCATATTATGGTTATAATAACCAAGAAGTGATAGACATGATCAGGTCACGCCATCTTTTACCGTGTCCTGAGGATTGTCCTCCACGAATATACGCTCTCATGGTGGAGTGCTGGCACGAGACTCCCAATAGAAGACCAACCTTCAGGTAAAATAACGGCTTAACAAGTTTGCAAGATAAATTCTGAATTTGCATTCTTTTATTTTTTGAGCACAGTGCATGTTATTGGTACCTTTATTTTACTTAGTGTATTTATAATATTAAACCTTGAATAGTAATGGAGAAATGATGCCGATATATTGGAAATTTACTTTTAACTTTTATAAAAATTCATGTTATGAGCAGCAAGAAATGCATATAAAATGTTTTTGGAAATTTATCTTTTTATTTTAGTATGCTCTTGCACCTAAATGGGTAATTAATGGAAATGTTGGAATCCAGTATAGCCCACTTTGAGTTTTGTTGAAATGTTGGCATTGAGCTCTCAAATATAAAATGAAGCCATATTTGAAAAATAGGGATGAATACAAAAGCTGTCAAATACTCAATTTCTGAGACGGTTCCCCTCAGTAGCTCCCCAATGTTTATATATTTATTGGTATAGCTAAGCCTTAGTAGTCATCCCAGTCCTTTGTGACCCACACTGACCCACTGGGAGTCGGGAACATAATTCCCACACAAATCGAGGGCCACTTGTGTATATAAATGATCGAAGTGCAGACATATACTTATAGATGATGCCTAGCTACTTATTTTATGATTTTGGCTCAAGTTCATGGATAGAAACATGCTTGCACAGTGTTCATGTTATACGTGAGACCAAAGTTGTAATAAATAACATTTAAGGGCCATAGCTTAAAAACATATATACTGTAGACAAATTAGGTAAGGTTCAAAGGCTTACTAATAAATAGCTCACGTTAAATTTGAGCTGGTAGGACATGTATACCTGTATTGGAAGACGGAATTAATAGGGCATAATATGATAACACACAAAATTACAAGGGAATAAATTAAAGAGTAGTGTGCACCACTTTATAAGAAAGGCATGAGCTTGGTTTTCATCCAGTAATGACACCTACTGAACGAAATTACACAGTATAAATAATAATAATTAACCTTTACACTGCCCCAGTCGCTATCTGCAGTTTCCTCCCGCGCCCCAATCGCTATAATGCGTCTTTTTTTCTCGTTTAATTTTGTAATTATTTTTAGTCATGCTCCTCAATGTAGTATTTTTAAATAGCTGTGCAGTTTAAGGGTTAATAGCTTCTTTACTTTAATATGAATTATTTGTTTATACTGTAGTTCCCTTTTTTTGTATTGTCCTATTATCTATAACTCTGTTTTCTTACAGTGTATTGCCGTCCTTTCTGGGCGAGTGCCTCCCCATCCCATGAAAGTGGGAAACGGGGTAATGATGATGATGATGATTTTTATGTATGTACTGTATGGTTCCTTCTGTCTCTCCTTTATTATATTGATCTTATTTAATTACTGCCATTCATGCAAATTTTCTTTGGGCTTACTAACATGATTCTAGTATTGGATGATTATGGACCAAAAATGGTGTCTGGGCTTGTGCATGCTCTTCAATTAGGTAGAGTAGTCAGCTGGGTTAATCAATCTGTCAGTAATTTTGTTGCTATAGATTATATTACTGTATATCTAAAATAATGGAAAGCAGGTGGAAAAACATGTAATTTTGTTTTAAATAATGGTGATCACATTTCTTGCCTATAATAACTTGCCCTGCTCTACAGAGAGTCAGAATGCATTGATACATTTTGAGCTAGTTTGTACTGTATTAGAAGTACTATATGCAATCAAAACTTTGGAGAATATTGTAACTAGTATCTTGCCTAGATTCAAGTAGAAAACTGACATAAGAACTAGTACAGATCTGTAACTCAAAGAAAGTTAATAATAAGCAGCTCAAGTGGGTAAAATATTATACAATTTGTTATATCAACTACAGGTACTCTCAAGAATAGAGGAATTTCAATTTGGCTGTGGGAGTTTGCGTCTGTCAGAAAGGGAAAATTTTAATATAATACCATGAGCCACTCCTTCAGGACAAAAAAAAAAAAAACAGAAGTGTTAGTACTAGCGGGTTCCATTACTGGCTGAGTCAGAAACAAATGGGCAGAGTTTCTTTTATTTCACCTGACTCACATTGAGAGACTACACAGAACCTAAATAATTGCAAATTATTTTGTTATTGTTTTGCTTTGGGTGCTAGTGGCTGTACAAGAATGTAAGAACTCTTGTATATATAAATACCTTTATGTATATACAGTACAAAATTCTCTCTCGGAGATATATACCTGGGATGCAGCCATAGGATTTGGAAAGTTCTTACATTCTTGTACAGCCACTACACGCATAGCGTTTTAGGCAAGTCTTAATCCTATGTCCCCTGAAAAATTATCATGTGTTTTTATAGCAAATATTATTATAAAATATTTGCAGTTTATAACACCAATTTTAAAGTAATCCAAAAATATAATGCTGAAATAGCATCTTAGCAGGGATGAGGTTTTTCATACTTTTTTCATTTTTGTTTGTAGACAAAACACTAACCAGCATTGCTTATTAAAATTCACTGGGAAATGTAATTACAGTCATTTACTGCTTGCAAAAATTGTGACATTAAATCAATGGGACTATATTCTATATTGGAGTGATTTGTCTCATATATATGAGACAAAAAAGATATGAATTTGAGGGAAGGATGGGTGGAATGGCGAAAAGATGGAGTGATGTGGTGAGTGAGGAAACCAGAAGTGTCTGAACAACACGCATGATATGGGAAGGTCAAGGTTGGAGAGGGGGGAGGAATCATTTTGCAAAGGTGCGAACACGTTTGTTTACAGTGTTCTGGCTGTCAGTTCACAAGGATCAGGTGAGATACCAGAAGCACTTTAATCAGCAGATATAGCTCCACTACACAAGGGCTGTAGCAAAGCATTGGTTAAAGATTCTGTACTGACCAGTTTCACTAACTTCACACAGTGAAGTCTATTCCACAGGGCAGTCTTTGTATCACTGCTTATTCTCATTCTCATATCAGATATAGACAAAAATACAAGTCACAGCTTTGTGTCATACCTGGATGAGGTTCTGAGAGTTCTACTACCCAAGTGACTTGTGAGAGCTTGGTTCAACAGGCTGTTGCTTGGAGCGGCCCACAGGCACACATATCTACTGTATCCCGGTTGGTCCTACACTTCTTGCCGGAAAGTGTCCAATTTTTCTTAAAGACTTCACTATTGTTCCGGCAATATTTCTTACACTGGCTTGGAGGATATTGAACAACTGTGGACTTTTGATGTTTAATCAAAGAACACTTTTTGAACATCAGAGGTCCATGGTTGTTTAGTATCCTTCCAGCAAGTATAAGAAATATTGCCAGAACAAAAGTGGAAGTCTTAAAAAGGAAACTGGACACTTTTCAGCAAGGCGTGCCAGACAAACCAGTGTAGTGTATGTGGGCCTGCATGCAGCTCCAACCAACAGCATGTTCGACTAACCACTCGCAAGTCTAGCCTGGCCCTGGGCCGGTTTTGGAGAGTAAAAGTATAAAAGCCCAGACCCCTCATCCAAGTACAATCTAGGTACAAAAATGAACATGAATATTACTTCTATAGAATTTATAGTATGGTATTAGCTTGTAGTTTCTTATTAAGTGTTTTTATTTTATCTTATAAGTTGTTATTTTTTTCATTTAATTATGGAAATAACAGAAATAGTTCAGTGTCTAGTTGTTGGCTTCCTTCTATCTCTTGGAGAATGCGGCATGTGATGTCAGTGTTTTTCTGTGGGTCAGTGGGCAGTGGGCCACTAGTATTCCATTCCATCTAAGTATTCCATTTTTCTGTGGAATTCTTGTGGCTCTCTAAAGCTATCTAACAGAGATGACACCCCACTACTGTTTTACTTACATCAGTTCCATGAATCCTGTTTGGCCTGCTGAAGACCAGAGCCTGAACCTGGCCCCTCTCAGAGTTTTAGGGAGTGGTGACTATTATCGTTACCCCACCAGGAAAGCAACCAGAAAGTTTGCGGAGCTTTATAGACAACTGCAAGGTTCATAGATGAATCATCAAAATGGCCAAACGACTGCAAAACTAACAGGAGAACTGAGGGAATCTCGCTATTGAGCATCAACCCATTAGCTCAAATAGCCACCATTTAGGTAGCCCAGAGCCCGGACCCACACTTATTCTACCCCTAGTTCTGTAGCTGATGCATGGTGTTCACACTGTAGTTGTGCTCTCTGGGTTGCCTGATGTTGTGGCAAGTCCCTCTGTTTCTCAGCTACGTTTCAATCTTCTGGACATTGTCCTGCAGGGGCCATTTGCTTGTTTTGTTCTTTGTTGTGTACAGTATGTATCACATGTGTTTTTCTCCTGGCTACTTGTGTGGACTTGGCTTGTTTAGTGTATCCCTCTGTGGGTTCCTCTTCTGCTTGTTGGTGCCATTTCTGCAATACAGAAGGATGGCACTGCTTGTTGTTTCCAATCTGCATCACAGAAAGATGGTGCAGCTTGTTGTTTGTGCCACCCCCTTGGGCAGTTCACCCTTTTGACAGTGCTGTGAGAGGGGTCATCTGACCCATTTTGCCAGCTCCTGGTCCCACAATTTGTGTGCCTTTCAGGTTGTCTTCCTTGGCCTTTAGTGGAGTTGATTGGTTCCTTCCACTCTTTCGAAGTGCACTGGTCAGTAGTCCTCTCCACAGTTGGGTCATTGTGATGTGGTTGGATTTGGACATTGTGAAAGGACTTCATCCCTTCAGTAGGTGTCTAATTTGTTCCCAGTCCTGAAGTGGGACTCGGCAGACCTTTGGTACATTCTTGATCTGTCCTGTTTGAACAGTTTCACGCACTGTCCCGCTTTTTGTATGACAACACTGATCCAGATTTGCATGGTCTTGCAGGCAATGTTGTAGATGGTGTGTTGAATGTTGTAACCAACAACCTCTTTTTTTTTGCTGTTTGCTAGATATGTGGAATTTGGGAGACATCCTGTGTATCTGTTGTTTGCCTTGGTATGGAATCATGGGTTTCATTTTTTTGTGCATGTTTCCTGATGGATTTAATCCACAGCATTGGGTGACGTGTTATTTTCTTACTGAAAGATGGCATCCGGTACTGGACCCAAACTTCTGTTCTAAAGGACAGATGTGTGGTCGAATGATACAGAATGTAGAAATTAATGCTTCAAGGCATTTGGAAACATTTATTCTAAAATCTATATTCACAAAGAAAGTGTACCCGCATATTGCAGCCAAAGGGTTAAATGTTTATAACTAGACAAGTGGATTGAATGAAAATTATAATGTGTTGGATCAAAATTTAACTATTTTTTTATTTATATTTATATATATTCTAGAAGGTATAAAGGGGGAGGGGTTGGAAAGTACATATTTTGGCAATTAAGTGGTACATTCTTTAAAAGCCTCTAATGTGCATATTAAACTCTTACCTGTATTTATATTTTTGTAGAAATTAAGTTAATTTTAGTATGTAGCAGGGCGAATACCATTGTTAATAGGATCTTATATCTGTCTTTTATTCAAAATCAGGCCAAGTGGTGTTAGTTGTAAATGTAATGTTACAAATGCTCCACGGCCATTCGTGTTTATTTATATAGTGATTAATTCTGTTGGTAAGAAATACAAGTACATCATCATCACTACCCATTTTCCTACCTTTGTGGGTGGGGAGGCAAACATATACAGTACAGTATTTTGTATTTATATATTACAGAGAGATCCATGGTCGCCTACGGTCGTGGCAGGGTTTAGATAATGGGGGGCTGGTAGGAGCTCTGAGTGGCAGTGTTTCAGGCCACTCAGGTTCTCAACATTCTAGTACTGGCCCCTCCAACAACACCGGCTCCACCAACCTCTCTTCAAATACTCATCCTCCTCATCTCCATCGACCATACCACCCTGGGCCCCACTACCCTCCACCTGGGCCCCCACATTCACCGGCATACTCTGCCCCTTATCAACCACCTCCACCACCTGGGATGGTTCCTGGATTATATCCTCGTCTTTCTGCACCCATGGGGCATCCACAGCCAGTTTACTTGGCCCAACGTAGCAATGTGATGGGAGGCTCCCCAGTTACTATTAGAGTAGCTCAGCCGCAGTCTCTTAATATGGGAACAGAAACCCAGTTGGCTAATCTCTGAACAAACTAAGTCAGGGGTGTTTATTTGTGAATCTCATAATTCAAGTGAAACTTTTGTACTATTGGGAGTCTTTACTGTGAGCTAGAAGCAGTGAATGTTAATGTGAGCATTTGAAAGCAACAAAAACTTTTGAATTTAATTTCTGTGGGACTTCGAAAGAAGCTGCAATAATATATTCAATATCTCCTGAGTGTTACATAGATTAGAAACTTGAGTGTCGAGAAACTGTTGTGCTATTGTTTAAATACTCATGAATACTGAATCTGCTTGTTTTCAAATGTGGAGAGAAATGACTTCATAGTGGTCTTTAAATTGACGTTGAAAGTAGGAAAAGATAAATATTCCTAATTTCGTGCAGCCATGCATATGCGGCATTTAATCTCCCATGTAGTAAGATATATCAAATATATAAATTGTATGTTGAAAGCAACAGAACATATTGATTCCATTATTTTCTACAACCTTGTCTAAAATGAATAGAACTTGGAGTTTAGCAATTCCGACAAAAATGTAGGTTACTCTTCCTGTTGGTATGAGTAACAGTGTTTAGGACCAGTCAGATTTTATTTGCTTAAACAAGAAAATGTTGACAACAATTTCAGCCGGTTCATGCATATCCTGCATAATGAGATAAAAATGATAGAACTACAAATACAAAATATTGCTAAAGATTGCTTGATGACCATGTTAAGTCATGCACAAATGTGAGGCGCTTTGTAAAATGAACTATTTTTGATGCCCATCCTGTTATGCACTCTCCATGCTTGACAATGCTGTCATCAAGTTACTAAGTCAATATATTTGCTTAAATGCATTAAGCTTTAATGTGATATTTTTATCCAATTTTTCTCAATTTATTTTAAATTTGCTGACTATACCCCTTTTATTCATGGTCAAAATAATAGCCAACATAGATATAAGGATCATTTTAATTTTGTCTCAATTGTAATACATGTTATCTTTTGGCATTTAATCTTAACATTCATCTCTTAGCACAATTGCATTCTACGTTTTGAAAGCTTTCAAAGCTGAATATAGTCGGTCTGAAAAATTACTGGTCAGTTATGTACAGCAAATTGTGTTTGGTGTTATTGTTGTAAGTCAAACAACGTTAATGTGTGTCAACCTTGACGTGAAGCAAGTCACATAAGTAATTCAAGAATTTGGCTACACATCATAACAGTAATTCCATGAATATTGGCTGTAATCGTGGATGATACTAGGGATTTTCAAATGGCTCCATGACTCTACATATACTGTACTTTTGAAAATCCCTAAGTTGCATAGTCAATGGTTATATTTAAAGTAGAGGCTTTCTAATGTTTATAATTATTTTACAAAAAAAATGTGCAAGTAAAATATATTACATATATTGATTTTCAGAAAACATCAGTCATAGGTCATCTGACTGATCTTAAAAAAACTTTATTAAGGTATTAAGAAAATGTAAATAGGACTGTAGATTATGCTATTTATAACAATAACAAATCATTTTTAAGAATACCACAATCAAGTCTTTTTGTACATGCAAGCAAGTGGTAAATATATAGTAAAATTATTGTTTTAGTATCCCTTACCAAGATGAGCCTGAATGCCGAGTTGGATTATTTAGTATTAGAATGTATAGGAAGACCATTTACCATGTTGAACCACTTGCCATGTTACCAACCATTTGCCTGGTTGACCAGTCCAGCAACGAGGAGGGCTGGTCGAGGACTAGACCGTGGGGGCGCTAAACCCCGAACACACCTCAAGGAATGTTTTTATGAATATAAACCATATTTTTTCTCCCTTATATGGCATGCTTAGGGTGTAGGTTTAATTAAATGAATGCCCGAATGAATTTCTCTTTCTCTCTCTCTCTCTCTCTCAAACGAGAGAGAGGATACGCATACACATTACAATCCAGACTCCACACACACACACACACACACACACACACACACACACACACACACGTTCACCACACATATACACACACCACGCAGTTGGGGGCCTCGCGGATGAGTGGACATCGCTCTGGGGTCATAGTCCTAAGGGCCCGGGTTCGATTCCCAGCTGAGGCAGAAACAAATGGGCAGAGTTTCTTTCATCTTGGTGCTTCTGTTCACCTAGCTGTAAATAGGTAATGTACTTGAGAGTTAGACAGCTGCTACGGCCTGCTTTCTGAGGATGTGTGCGTGCGCACATGTGTTAATAGAAGAATGTTCAGTATTTAGTAGACAAGAAAAATAGATGAGTTAGAAAGGTGGGGTCCAAGAGCTAATAGCTAGAGAGTGTGCAGACCAGGGGCAGTCTGTCTAATTACCCAAAGGTACCCACCGCTTCCTATCATTACAATAGTAATGAAGAACTATGATATATTTACTCACTATAATGTTGGTGCTGAATGTAGAACATGGAAAAAAAACTATTTTTACTCTGAAATAATAACATTTTGTTTTTTCATGTTCTACATTCAGCACCAACATTATAGTGAGTAAATATATCATAGTTCTTCATTACTATTGTAATGATAGGAAGCGGTGGGTAATTAGACAGGCCTGGCCAGGGGTGCTGTGCGCAATATAAAACGGGAATGTGAGATGACTAAACAGAAGCAATGGGCAGAGGAATATTATAATAGGGAAATTAGGAAGAGAGACAAAAATTGGGAACTGCAGTTGAAAAGCTGGATCCACTACCACCCGCAGGATGGGTGTAGGGTCCTCTACCACCCACAGGATGGGTGTGGGGTTCCCTTGCCACCCACAGGATGGGTGTAGGGTCTACTACCACCCGCAGAATGTGAACTAGGGTCCTCTACCACCCTGTGAGGGGGGCCTCGTAGCCTGGTGGATAGCGCGCAGGACTCGTAATTGTGGCGCGGGTTCGATTCCCGGACGAGGCAGAAACAAATGGGCAATGTTTCTTTCACCCTGAATGCCCCTGTTACCTAGCAGTAAATAGGTACCTGGGAGTTAGTCAGCTGTCACGGGCTGCTTCCTGGGGGTGGAGGCCTGGTCGAGGACCGGGCCGCGGGGACACTAAAGCCCCGAAATCATCTCAACCTCAAGATAACCTGCAGGATAAGTGTAGGCTCCACTACCCCCGTAGGATGGGTGGGGGGTCCACTACCACCCTCAGGATGGGTGTGGGGGTCCCCGACCACCCAAAGAATGGGTGTAGGGATCCCCTACCACCCACAGGATGGATGTGGGGGTCTACTACCACCCACACGATGGATGTGGTGTCCCCTACTATCCGCAGGATGGGTGTGGGGTTCTCTACCACCCACAGGATGTGTGTGGGGTCCTATACCACCCGCAGGGTGAGTGTGGGGGTCCTCTACCACCCACAGGATGGATGTAGGGGTCCCCTACCACCCACAGGATGGGTGTGGTGGTCCAGTACCTCCCACAGGAAAGGTCTGGGGACCACTACCACTCACAGGAAAGGTGTGGGGTACACTACCACCCACAGGATGGATGTGGGGGGTCCTCTGCCACCCGCAGGATGGGTGTGGGGTCCTCTACCACCCACAGGATGGGTATGGGGGTCCCCTAACACCCAAAGAATGGGTGGAGGGGTCCCCTACTAACCACAGGATGGATGTGGGGGCCCACTACCACCCATAGGATGGGTGTGGGGTCCTCTACGACCCGCAGGATGGATTCGGGGTCCTCTACCACCCGCAGGATGGGTGTGGGGGTCCTCTACCACCCGCAGGATGGGTGTGAGGGTCCACTACCACCCGCAGGATGGATGTGGGGTGTGGGGTCCTCTACCACCCGAAGAATGGGTGTCGGGGTCTTCTACACCCACAGAATGGGTGTAGGGGTCTTCTACCACCCACAGAATGGGTGTGGGGGTCTTCTACCGCCCACAGGATGGATGTGGGGTCTTCTACTACCCACAGAATGGGTGTAGGGGTTCCCTACCGCCCACAGGATGGATGTGGGGTCCACTATCACCCACAAGATGGGTGTTGGGGTCCCCTACCACCCACAGGATGGATGTGGGGGTCCCCTACCACCCACAGGATGGATGTGGGGACCACAACCACCTGCAGGATGTATGTGGGGTCCTCTACCACCCGCAGAATGGGTGTGGGGGTCTTCTACCACCCACAGAATGGGTGTGGGGGTCCACTACCACCCACAGGATGGGTGTGGTGGTCCACTACCACACACAGAATAAGTGTGGGGGTCCACTACCACCCATAAAATTCCAAAATTTCTTGTGAGATTAAAAGATTAAAATTTTATCACAAAAATCGCCCAAAATTTCGCTACTTTTTAGCCCAAAATTTCGCTACTTTCGCTACTTTTTAGCCCGAAATTGGGCTACTTTCGCTACTTTTAGCCCAAAATTTCGCTACTTTCGCTACTTTTTAGCCCAAAATTGGGCTACTTTCGCTACTTTTAGCCCAAAATTTCGCTACTTTTTAGCCCATAATTTCGCTACTTTCGCTACTTTTTAGCGCAAAATTGGGCTACTTTCGCTACTTTTAGCACAAAATTTCGCTACTTTTTAGCCCAAAAATTCGCTACTTTCGCTACTTTTTAGCACCAAATTGGGCTACTTTCGCTACTTTTAGCCCAAAATTTCGCTACTTTCACTACTTTGTAGCCCAAAATTTTGCTACTTTTTAGCCCAAAATTTTGCTATTTTCGCTACTTTTTAGCCCAAAATGTCGCTACTTTCGCTACTTTGTAGCCCAAAATTGGGCTACTTTCGCTACTTTTAGCCCAAAATTTCACTACTTTCGCTACTTTCTAGCCCAAAATTGGGCTACTTTTAGCCCAAAATTTCGCTACTTTTAGCCCAAAATTATACTACTTTCGTTACTTTTTAGCCCAAAATTGGGCTACTTTTAGCCCAAAATTTTGCTACTTTCACTACTTTTTAGCCCAAAATTGGGCTACTTTCGCTACTTTTTAGCCCAAAATTTCGCTACTTTCGCTACTTTGTAGCCCAAAATTTCGCTACTTTCGCTACTTTTTAGCACAAAATTTCGCTATTTTCGCTACTTTTTAGCCCAAAATTTCGCTACTTTTTAGCCCAAAATTTCGCTACTTTGTAGCCCAAAATTGGGCTACTTTTACCCCAAAATTTTACTACTTTCGCTACTTTTTAGCCCAAAATTTCGCTACTTTCGTTACTTTTTAACCCAAAATTTCGCTACTTTCGCTACTTTTAGCCCAAAATTTCACTACTTTTGCTACTTTTTAGCCCAAAATTGGGCTATTATCGCTACTTTTAGCCCAAAATTTCGCTACTTTCGCTACTTTTTAGCCCAAAATTTCGCTACTTTCGGTACTTTTTAGCACAAAATTTCGCTATTTTCGCTACTTTTTAGCCCAAAATTTTGCTACTTTCGCTCCTTTTTAGCACAAAATTTCGCTATTTTCGCTACTTTTTAGCCCAAAATTTCGCTACTTTCCCTACTTTTTAGCCAAAAATTTTGCTAATTTTGTTACTTTGTAGCCCAAAATTGGGCTACTTTCGCTACTTTTAGCCCAAAATTTCACTACTTTCGCTACTTTTTAGCCCAAAATTGGGCTACTTTTAGCTCAAAATTTCGCTACTTTTTAGCCCAAAATTTCGCTACTTTCGCTACTTTTAGCCCAAAATTTCACTACTTTCGCTACTTTTTAGCCCAAAATTGGGCTACTTTTAGCCCAAAATTTCGCTACTTTCGCTACTTTTTAGCCCAAAATTGGGCTACTTTTGCTACTTTTCAGCCCAAAATTTCGCTACTTTCGCTACTTTTAGCCCAAAATTTCACTACTTTCGCTACTTTTAGCCCAAAATTTCGCTACTTTCACTACTTTTTAGCCCAAAATTGGGCTACTTTCGCTACTTTTAGCCCAAAATTTCGCTACCTTCGCTACTTTTTAGCCCAAAATTTCGCTACTTTTTAGTCCAAAATTTCGCTACTTTCGCTACTTTTAGCCCAAAATTAGCCTACTTTCGCTACGTTTTAGGCTAAATTGGGCTACTTTCGCTACTTTTTAGGCCAAAATTTCGCTATTTGTAGCCCAAAAATTGGGCTACTTTCGCTCATTTGTAGCCCAAAATTGGGCTACTTTCGCTACTTTTAGCCCAAAATTGGGTTAATTTCGCTACTTTTTGGACCAAAATTTCGCTACTTTTTAGCCCAAAATTGGGCTACTTTCGCTACTTTTTAGCCCGAAATTGGGCTACTTTCGCTACTTTTAGCCCAAAATTTCGCTACTTTCACTACTTTTTAGCCAAAATTTCGCTACTTACGCTACTTTTTAGCCCAAAATTGGGCTACTTTCGCTAATTTTAGCCCAAAATTTCGCTACTTTTGCTACTTTTTAGCACAAAATTTCGCTACTTTTTAGCCCAAAATTTCGCTACTTTCGCTACTTTTTAGCCAAAAATTTCGCTACTTTCGCTACTTTTTAGCCCGAAATTGGGCTACTTTCGCTACTTTTAGCCCAAAATTTCGCTACTTTCACTACTTTTTAGCCAAAATTTCGCTACTTACGCTACTTTTTAGCCCAAAATTGGGCTACTTTCGCTACTTTTAGCACAAAATTTCGCTACT